TTATATATATATCTGTGTGTGAATGTGTGTGTATATATGTACGTATGCACACACACACACATACATAAAAACAAAATATTAGTTGCAGAGCACTTTTTTAATACTTTGCATCTCCCATTTAAAGGATCCCTGCTCCCCACCCATGCAGTCCCATGAATTCTAACACATTAGGGACCTTTAGAGCAGTTTTTTAATATAGATCAAAGGGCCATTTGCAAAATCTGTTTCTCTTCCCTCCCTTTTTTATTTAGGAAATAATCTTTTTTTAGCCTTTTCTGGAGAGATATTTAGAGGGAGGATGAAGAGAGTTTGCAAGTGATTTCCAAGCTAAGGATTGGGCTTTGGGGGAAGAGAAAAGATAGAAATAAATTTTTGATTCACTTCCTTCCTTCATACTATAATATTTAGTATTTTTATTTGTATCACAACCATTACAGGTGTGCAAAGCCTTTGAAGCAACTCTTTTGCAATGCACAAAAAGGCAAGACATCTTTCTTTGAATTGCTAAAGCGGCTGTATCTTTTGCAATGCTCACTTCAGGAGTGGCTTTTAAAGCTGCTGGGTAAATTTTACAAAAGATTAATTTGCTTTAACAATTGGAAGAGTGATGCTTTCTTCATGCTATGTGCTTTCTGAAACACTTCTTTCACAGGCTTTATGCAGCCATAATAATCTTACCCGTGCCGGTCAGTAGTCCCTGCCTATGAGCCTCAATTATACAGCATTCATGTGGCCTCCAGTATTGTGAAAGTTTCTTGACTTGTCTCTTGGAAAACCAAAAGTTCCTTTTTTGAAAGTCATTTTGCATACTTCTTTAATTCTGTCCAAGGAATAAAATCACAAAACACACTGTAGAGGTGAGGCCAATGTCAACATACTTTTTTCATCAGCATTACTCTGCAGTAAGACTTTGAGAAACTTCAGTAGCACTTTTGAGTGGAACCTTGTAAAGAGAAACGTTCAAATTTGTAAACTGCATTATCATGGAAGTAAAGAAGGGCTTCAGAATCAGGCTTTAATAATGGAGCCCCCTGGAGTCTTTTTGGTTTGTCTAAGAGAAGTTTATAACTCACCAAACAAATTACAATCCATTAAATTTCCTAGCTTTTGCCTCCCTGCAGAAATTGAGCATTTTGGTTTTTTAAAAAACTCAGAGTACAGATTGTAATACATAGTGGGCTGTGCTTAGCTCAGTTATCTAACTTCTTTAGTATTGAATGCTTAGTATTTCTTGCCAGTAGGAAGAAACAAATCCACACATTTACTTTATCATTCTTATCTATGAATGGTGCTGTTATAAGTGTAGTTAAAAGCAAACACTATTCTATAGTTCAGAGAAGGATGGCCCTTTGTGCATTCAGAAATGGGGAAGATGCAGATTTGCACCACAAAATCACCTTTCCTGAATTGCGCAGCACTTCATATTATTAACTTAGGGCAAGTTGTCACCAACACAAACATGGGCAGAATGTCATGGAGAAGATAGTTACTGGCTATATTTTTGTCTGCCTGCCATAAGGCAATGTGGTTTCTTTTCCTATCTTTATCCACATTTAATACAAGAAAGCATCTGATAAGGTTTACGTAGCATAGCTGATGACCTTTGTTAGAGTTTCAAGCTGAACAAAAGTTGGAGTCCCTAAACTAGCAATTTCTGCAAAAATACAGAGATAATGGTTAAAAAGACACATAAAAAAGACAGTTTTGCAAACACTTAGAAGCCCTTGCATATGTTTGGTCACAGGACGCAAGTTTTCCATGTTTCACACAACATAAATAGCTGGAAGTGGTGAATGCAACAGTGCAGGATAAAAATTGATGAAGAATGTAAGATATCACACCATCCTCCTTTGCAATTAGTTAGCTGTTTAGGAATTAAAGCTCTTAATCCACTTTAACTTATTGTGATAGATTTATCATGAATACCACAAGGGCCACATTTCACCACATGTAAGAGAAAGAGAAGGGAAAGTTATGCTCAGAAACCACACTGCTTCAGTTCCAAAATACATTCCTTTTTCCTTATTACTAGGAAATTTTCTCATTTCCTTGAAATTTTTAAGCTTTCCTTGAGCATCTACATTAGCTGTTCTTCGGGGATCAATTACGTTAATCCCATGTTTCACTAGTCACCTTCTTGTGACCATTCTCTTGGAGATGGGAATATTTTTTGAGCCTGCACAGGATATACCCTGTGTTTGGAGAATCCAAAGAATGATTCTAGAGAGGAGAGGAGGGGAGAAGAGATGGGTCTTTACTCTCCTGCACTTCTATTTTGGCATTTATACCACCAGTGAGAAATGTTTTCCTTCCTACTCCTTTTTTTCACAAAGTATCTCCTATCTTAACCCTTAGTTTAGCATCACCATTACCTCCCTTGGTAAGTACAAATTCCCTTTCTGGCTGGGTACCTGCCAGCAGACAACTCAAATGAAGATAGTGTATATCATCCCCAAATGACTAAAATGTCTGAATTTCTAAGCATGTTCCTTGTCGTGGACTTACTAGACAAGTACATAAATCAGACAATACAGGCAATATTTTGTCTTGGACTGAAATGACCACTCTTATTATCCACTTTCTGGATGCAGTGCATCCGGTCCAGAGGAATACATAAGTTTGGCTTGTTGTTTAAAACAGATGGACAGTAACTAACTGTCTTGAGTAACTTGAGTCCCAGGCAACAATCAGCTGTGTTTGCAGGAGTAGCCATTTATTTCTCATGCTTTTGTGGGCCTGCATGAATTAAATGTCCAGGCTCTAAGCAGATCATATTAAAAATCAGTTTAAAAAAGCCAAAAACATGCAGAATAATTCTAAGCATGTTTACACAGAATTTAGCCAAACTGAATTCACTGGAACTTGCTTCCTAGCCGATGTGCTTCAGATTGCAGCATCAGAATCACTTCCTTTGAGAATCCATGTGCACTCTCTCCAGAGTGTTTTACAAAGAAGTGTCAACTCACTGATTATGTTGATAGTTCGATTGTGTGTGTTAAGTTCTAAAAAAATGATATTGGGGCCTAAATCCAACATACTTTCACTGAAATTTATGGAATAGAATATTTCTGTTTTAAAATTTGTATCCAGTGAATGTGTTGTCCTACTGTCCCGGAGTGATAGAGCTCTCACTGCAGTTTGTTCTTATTCAGACAAGCGCAACAATTTCCAGACGATGAAAAACAACAGTCCAGTCTAGAAGGACTCTAATCTGCCACTTTGCACTGAGAGTTGTTTAATGTGTAAAAGTGTAATATTTAGAATTTAATCTCACTCCCTTGCTCACCGGTCTTTGCTTTGTTTGCAGTAGTTGACCCACTTTTCCCTAACCTGAAAAAAGCACTGGAAACCCTGTCTTCAGAAGAGGGATCCAGTCATTCACCATCAAGATAGTTTTTCCATACGTAATTCAAGTACATCATTAGATTTCCTTCCATAATTCCGCCCTTCTATATTTGGAGGGGTTAAATATGCATTCCCAGATAATCTCAAAGTGCAGCTCTGGTTAGGGTTTTTTAAATTAACTTTTATGTTTGATAAAACTGCTTTTTTCAATGTGTATGTTGTACTAGTATCTGTTGTTTTCTTCATTTTTTAAAAAAACACTTAATTGGCTTTTTTATGTATGGAGAGACATTGCTGGCTGACTCTTGTAGCTGTGTTGTTTTTGGTTATAGCCTTTGAATGTCTGTGCCATGAGGCATCCCTGATCTCCGTGGTCAGGAAACATGCTTCAGTCTTAAAGAAAGCTTGTTTGTTTAAAATATGTGAACATTTTTTAAAAAAAATACAGATACAATACATTTAAATTATGGGGAATAATACTCTGCTGGAAATGTACTAAACTATTTTGGTAACTAATTTAAAAATAATAGGAAATAAAATCTTTGAATCGGGTCTATAGTGTTTATACAGAATTACAGTCATTTGCAGATGCTCTGGTGGTGACTGATTTGTAACACTTACTTTTGTAAACATTGTGTTTTATTGCTTCCTCTGCCTTTCTATGTGATTGTC